TTAGGTTACTCTCTCCTTTGAAAAAACGTGTCAAATTTCAATTCAATATCTGAGCTAGCTGTGCTTTTACCCTTACTGTATCTGCCCAGAATGTCTAATAAATAACATTTGAAGATTTTTTAAAAGGTTTTCGACTTGTCATTTTAGGTACTAGTACAGCTTTTGGTGCAACAACCTCAGCTCCCTCCTTTGGCTCTACCTTTGGTACTGGATTAACTACTGGTTTTGGTACTGGAACCAACACTACAGGTTTTGGGACCACTAGTGGACTAACACTTGGCCAACAACCAATTACTGCGGGTAATGTTCGGTAGAACAGTCAAATGGTCTAATCTCCCAATAATGATTTAGATGACATTAAAAAATGGCTCAAAGTTTTAGTTAACAACYATAGTTGTACTACTGTTACAACTTTTTTTAACAGAAATACAATTCTTCTTCCGAATAATCGTTGCCGATAGGCCTCTTTAGCTTACAGTGTTTTCCCATTTCAGATTTCTAATGTCATTCCCTAGAGTAACATTAATGGTTGCACATGAGAAAACACATGAACATGGATACAACTCAAACAAAGAATCTTATTACTAGTATGACAAGTGATGCCTGGTGATTTAGAATCTAGGCACACAATGTACAGTATTGTTATAATCATAGCAAAAATTTCCAAATTTCTATTATCTCTTGTCAAAAACGTAATGAAATATTTTCTACCATCAACGATGAAAAACACAATTAAAAAAAAAAAGATATTTGGTGAATCTTGTGGTGGATAAATTTTATTTTGAATTCTTTATTTTTAAATAAAACCTGGAACTAGAAAACACTGAGCTACAGTACAAAAAAATGTTTGATGATTGGCTACAGTAGTTCATTCTGGAAGAGAGGCACAAAACYACCTGGTATAATGTGGGAAAATGATATATTTTACATGTAAATCTTGTTAACCTTACAATCTTGTCTTTTAGGCATTGGTCAATCTCTAGCACAAGGCATACAGCCATCTCTTTCTCCTATGGTTYTTATGAACTTAGCTTTATCTAATCCTCAAATACATGGCGATGAAAGAGATGGGATTATTGCAAAACTGAACCAGCTCCAAGCATACTGGGGTGCAGGAAAAGGATACTAYAATCAACAAGGAGGAGCTGTTGATTTTACTCCTGAAAACCCTTACTGCAGGTTCAAGGTATGTTCATGACTGTGTGTGACTGTACACATGTACACAGGGCTAATTAAAAAATAA